TCACTTTTCCAATGCTGTTCGATAACTTAGAACAGCCATTTGTACTTCAATAGGATGACAAACTCCACATCTGTATAAGATACATTTATAGACGGATCATCAGTAATTAGTTTCTGAAACAACCTCCTCCAAATTAGATACCACTGACAAACAATAGCAAAGCTAGTCACGTTAATGAGATGCTGTTGCTATGGGGAAAAAAAAAAAAATCCCTGTAAAGGTGAAAATAAACACATGCTTCCTTTTTCTCATTATGCAAAGGCACCAAAAAGCATTGAAGATAAAGCTGCTCCTAACTATATGCACCATTGAACTGTACTTTTAAAGGGATCATTTCTTCCCCCATTTCAAAACCTCCTGTATTTAAATTTTGGAAGAAGCATCCCAAATGCTTGTGGTTAGGTGTTCTTTAGGATGTTCATAGAGTCACAGACGTATTGAAGTTGGAAGGGATATGTGGAGGTTGTCTAGTTCAAGGTCCTACTGAAACCCATTCAGTCAGGTACATGCCCACATGGTGAAAACATTTTTTCCTTTTGTCTAATTGGAATTTCTCAAACTGTGACGTGTCATTTCCTTCATCCTATCACCATGAATATCCAAGAAGAGTCTGGTCCTTTGTGCTCCCACACTGAGTACTCATAGACAGCAGTAGAATCTCCTGATAGCCTTCTCTTCTAAAGCTAAATAAATCCAGTTTTATCAATCTCTCCTTGTACATCTTGTTCTCCAATATTCTAATTGTTTTGACAGCCTTCCTCTGGCCTTCCTCCAGTATGTCAATGTTTTCCTTGTACTGGGGAGCAATTTGGACCCGGCGCTTCAGATGTGGTCTCACAAATGCTCAATAGAAGGGAATAATCACTTCTCTTCAGTTGGCTACAGTTTTTCCAGTGCAGCCCAGTATGTGGTGGCCTTCCTCACCGCAAGGTCACACTGTTGACCCATGTTCAACTAGTCTGCAAGGATCTCTGGGTCTTTTTCTGCAAAGCTGCTTTCTATTCATTCATTTCCCAACCTTTTCTGCTGCACAGGGTCGTTCTGCCCCAGATGTAGGACCTCACAAGTGCCTTTGTTGAAAGCCCATTTCATGCCAGTTCATTTCTTCAGCCTGTCAAGGCCCCTGTGAATAGCAGCCTTCTATCATACACTTGCTTTCTACAATTTGGTATCTCTGTAAGCTTCCTGAAAGTGCTTTCTATCCCATCATCCACATCACTAATTAAAAAGTTCCACTGATGATGTATACAACATCTTTTTACTGTTTTTTTTCCCTCTGAAGGGTACATATTCTTCCAGATAGCTTCTTGAGGCCAATGTCCTTGATGATATGAACTAATGTCTTGCTGTGGAAGTCAGTAAAGGAAATGATCCCTGGAACAAAGTCTGAAGCAAGTTTGATGTCTGTCCAACAGCTCCAGAGAGCAGGCCTATCTAGTAAAACGAAACGATCTGTTCTCCCAGCCTAAGCTCTTTAATAAACATCTGGTCCTTGTCCTTCCACCCTCAACCATCTTGCATGCAGACATACTCCTACAGCTTGCAAAGTGGGTTATGGGAGGGCAAGTAAGCTGCTGAAAACATTACAAGAAGTTGTCAACTTTCCTTCGCTAATAGGAAGCATAGTGACATGACACATGTCTGAGCCTGCCTTCTGTCACAGAGATCTTTGATTTATATTTGTAAAGACTGAGTATAGATGACAGTTACACAGGTCTTTGAGACCACAGAAGCAACACAACAGGTTGAAAAATGAAATGAGCTCATTAAGTCAAGGCTATTTCATAGAATCATATAGTTGTTTAGGTTGGAAAGGACCCTTAGAGGCCATCTAGTCCAACTCCCTCTGCAATGAACAGGGGCATCTACAGATTGATCTACCATTTATCTGAATAAAGGATGTCATTCCCGAACATCAGGACCCCTTGCCCAAAATTCCTCTGATTTAGTTGTAGCATCATCTGCACTTCACACAAATTTAATGGTCCGCTCCTCTTTACCATGGAGAGTATTTCTCATCTGAGAGGCAGAACCATAGAGGGCAAACTAGAAGGTCCTAACCCTTATAGACGATGGAAACCTTTTAACTTTCCTGAATGAATGACACATCTTTGTCAAGCAGCCTGTCTGTTAACAGTGACAGGTTGAGGAGCATGGTCTGGAAGGTGGCCAAAGCGGCCAGCTCCACGCTCAGAGTTGTTGTGTTAAAAAGAGAGCATTCTGTTCCCTCTCTCGTTGTTTCCCCTCTCACTAGGGCCCGTTGTTACAGCCTCACGCCTCCTTGTGTGAAGGCCAACAGCGAGGCTTTGTTCAAGAAGCAGCTGCTGAGAAGATGTACTATCTCATGAAATGACCTACTGACATTTCTCCCCCTGCTCATTAGTAAGCAGTGAATAATTAGGAGAACTAGGGCGGATTGCACGGCCTGTTTCTTTCAGAGTAAAAAATCAGCTCTGTAGATCCTAATGTGCCCCAGAAGGGATTCCCTCGTATTGTGGGTTTTTTGCAAGGCCAGAAGAGCTGGCTGTGCATCGCCTTCTTCTCATCACCTGATAGTGCCCAAAGCTGGATGGGACAGGGCTGAGGACAGGGTGTCCCAGCCGTGACCAGGCTCCAGTCCCTGTTCACCTCAGCTGCAGCAAGAGCAACTCAATTTATCCAGGAACCGAGCCAAGGATCCTGCTTGCCTGCATGACATGTGCTTGTTTACGGAATAATCTTTGGTACAGGGTGGGTCTACAGCAGTGAGGAAATGGCTGAGTGATTGCAAGTAGCAGAGTAAGTGGGGGAACAGAGGAAATGATGTCTAGTCTTTCACAATCCTTACTGCAGTTCAACGTGATTGTCTAGTGATGTGCATGTAGAGGAGTAGTGGGGATAGAGCATCTGCATTGCCTTCCCCTCGTGCAAACAATGCTTGCATCCACTCTGGCTTATAGGCCTGCTCTGCATCACTGATTATGTGACAAACCTGTCTGACTTCAAAACAATGGCCAGGCAAACAAAAAGATTTTTTCTTTCAGCCGCCTTGGTTTGTTTTGGCATGTTTTCATAGCACGCATTGGATGACACGACACAACTAATGTCAGGGACTCAACTGTCCCACTTATATGTGCCTGTGCCAAAAGTGTACCCAGTCCTCACAATTCCTCAACTCCTATGACTCAGAACTGTGCTTTCCCCCCATTTACATCAGCATGGTTTCCATATTATTCTCAATCAGTCCATCAAACTCATGTCTGGAATGGAGGGAAGGGAAACACGTCTGAGTACCCTTGTCCCTCCCCAAACTAAAATGCTTTAAGCAAAACATTCCATTACAGATGCACAGGTCATGCTCAGACTCATCATCTGTTTATTTTCAGTTTGCTGTGGTCTGGCTGCTTCCTTGCCTGACAGTGTTGTTTCATCTGCCTTCACAAGACAAAATAAAAGCCACACATACATCTCCAAATCTCAGCTTGTGGTCTTTGCTCAAGCATGAGACACCATAGGTATTTGTTTTCTTGCTGTCTTCCTGCCTTGAAGAATGCCATGTGGTGATGGGCTGGCAGTTGGAATGGATAGTCTTAGTGGTCTTTTCCAACCTCACTAAGTCTATGGTTCTATGATCTCAATGTGGACAAAGGGCTCGCACTGACATGACAGGTCTGCTTCTGAGATGACTTCAGCCAAATTGGGCTGCAGATGTCTATGACAAACTGCTCAAAAATTGCTACACAGCTTTGTTCAGTAAAACTCTTCTCAAAGCACTCACAATTACGTGTTACACCACAGGTTATCCCCTGAGGTTGGGCTACGCTGTATTCTGGTATGTTTATAGGCACTATTCAGCATCCCTGTACTGTAAGAGGTATACAGAGATCACTTTGTCTATACTGATCACTTTTTCCTCTGAGATACGCATGCTCACTGCTGCCAACAGAACCCAATCCCATGCAGCAGACTGAGAGACAGCAAGAGGAAATGCATCATCCAATTAAGAGAGTGCATTCAAGAACACAGGGCAAGTTAGACCTTTAAGCAGCATGAATCATTTTGCCTATATTTTCAAAGAGGTTCAGACCTCTTCTCCTTAGTAAACTGTCACTGCTACAAGACCAGCAGTCATCTGTCAGCAGAGGTGGATGGCAGGAGGAAGTTTACTCATTAGCTGTTTGTTTTATAGGAGGACTTTGCTCCAGAATCCTACATTTTCTCACTGCCTACAGAAACTACACAATGTTTCATAGTATCTGAACTCTCACCCCATAACCGCTGGTAAAACCCTGTGGTTTTACCTCCTGCGTGTCCTGAGCATTCTGAGCATTCCTCATGTCTGCCCTGGAGGGCAGATAAGTCTGACTGCTACCTTTGTTCAGCATCTGGAGAAGCAAAGGCCAGGGAGAGCTAGACCGGCTGGGGACCGTACCAAATCTGGAGTCAAAACAGGGATAAAACAGCACTGGCTGTGCTCTGCCAGCCCAGCCCAGCCCAGCCACAAGCTGTCCCCTATAGGCTCCTATTAACATACAGGGGATGCTAGGAAGAGAAAAGCTGAGTGATGGGGAAGACCAGCATGACTCTTCCCTGCTATATCCCCTGAGGTGCCATCACTGCTTTTCATGTAGCAGCATGTTTATGGCTCAATCATCCCCTGGGTTAAAAGGGGAGAATGGATGAGTTCCAGCAGGGACTCACGGGTCCATAGGACACTTAACATAGATCAAGGGTCAAAGAATCATTTAAGTGTTCCCTTATATCCCCGTTACTTTTGCTCTGACACAGGTTCTCAGTCTGGCAGTTTTTGAAGCTATATATACAGATTTATGTCCATGTACTTGTACCACAGCAGGACAGATTAATCACCACTTAGCAGCACTCTCTCCAATCCAAATAAATGATCATAAAATACTAAAAGATGGACAAGTAGAGATAATCTGAAGAACAAACAGGCTAATTTCTCCATAGGGAATATACTTGTGGAATTTAATCCAGAGCTCTGAAAGATTTCCTTCTAGGTTAGGAATTTTCTGTTTGGAACCACTAGTAAAAATATTGAAAGAGCTTTTGTGAAGAGGATTTGTGAAGAGGATTTGTGAAGAGTTGGTGTTCATGCAGAAGAAATACAGAGCAAGAGAGAGGAACTCACTCTGCTGCTGGGTCTCCTTCTGCCCTGGAACTGCCACTGCTAGGTGAACAAATACATGAATTCAGAAGAAGCCCAAAAGGGAACACACCAGTATGGGACAGTATTTTGTACTCCTGCAATGCTGATATTTCCAGACTCCCAGTGATTTCACATCACCAGGAGTGTTGCTCTCTAGGAACATTCCCTCATTCTGGTGTCCATGAACGGTTCCTTCTCACTGCAGTATCCTCGTTTTTATTAATGCTCTGATTAGTGCTGACATCCTTCTTAATCATTTCCCCCCCTCCCAGTTTGTCTCTGCTCAGTCCTTTTTAACCTTTCTCTTCAGACCAATCCTTCCCAGTGCTATGAATAAATAAAAGCCTTCTGTTCTCATCAACAAAATGGTCTTTTAACAGTTGCAAGAACAACACAGCAATCACTTGCAAAAAAAAAACACAACTAATATTTGAAGCATTTAAAAGCCTACAGCTATTTTCTGCTTTTTAAATATACACACTTAAATAGAGAAAGCAACAAAGAAATTAATGGGGAGCACAAGCAGCAGTAGGTATCTGAGAGGGACTCTTAGCCCATCTGCAGTGCTCACCAGCATTGCAAAGCACTGTCCTCAAGCAAATCTAAAGGCTAAAATCTGCTGCCTGGTTAGGGCTAAGTAATTCACTTTCCTCATTTGCATACCAGAAGACCATTACTCATTACCCATAAGAAGCACCAGCAATTCTGAGTGAAAAAGATGTTCTGTGCCATCACTGTTAGAAGTGTAAGATCTAAGTGAATGTATTTTTGTGGACCTTGGATCTTGGAATGCTTTTGTAACCATGATTAGCTGACATGTACTTTTGAAGGTGAAACTGTCGTTCTGGTTTCAAGCCATGTAATGCAACCATACAAATAAGATGCCAGCAAATGAGATGTTTCAAGAAGTGAGACGAGGATAGCAGGAACATCATGTGCTTTACCAACAGAAAATGCTTGGATAGGGGAAACAAAGCCACATTCTCTATCCTTTATTCTCATCTTCCTTGGCTTTCTGCTTCACCCTAAAGATAACATAACAAAAGGAGCTGCAATCTGTCTGCAGGTCCGTGAAGAATTACCATATCGCTCCAGTTTGTTGACTCTCCCATGGGTATTCCTTCTAAGAGGGCTTCCCTAAATTGATTGCCAATAACCTAATGTATTCGTCTGTCTCTCGGTCATCAGAATGTTGACATAATAAACAGTAATATAGGAAGGAAACCAAAATGTGAAATTTCATTTCAACGAAGCTGAACCTGGCAGAAATACATAGCAGGGTCCTCTCAGCAACCTTAACTCATGAAGCTGCACTCCAGGTACATTCAGAAACCATGGAAAACCATTACCTGCCTATTAAAACACAAGAGACCACAGAATGAAATGCTGCATTACAAAGAAATAGCATTTTTCTCTGCCATGAGGCTGATATTAAACAAAGCAATTTAACAGCATTAGGTGTAAAGGAAACCTAAGAGGTCTTCTGGAAATAAGTTTTCACCACTATTGAGGAAAGTTTCTAATAAGTAGCTATGAGATACAGCTGTCTTGAGGTTAGTGTGAAATATCTGAAAGAGCAAATGCATTAATAACATACTCTGAGACACTGAGAAAGCCAACCTGGTGCCACTTCTCTGGTGCCAATAGGAAGACACAAATTCAGATGAGCACTGTTACCCTGTGATATGCCAGCCGTTTTGCTGTAGCCTTGCATAACAAGAACCAGTGGTGCAGAGCAGCCTTCAGCGAGATTTACAGCCCATGCATAAGCTTTTACAGAATCAGCAGTATAAATGGAAATTATTTTTCCTTCTTTTGACTGAAGGACAGACACTGTATAAATCAGTCAAGTCACACACATTACAGCCATAGCAACTTCCCAACTCATTTGGGAAATCATGCTAGCCCTGCAGAGGAACTGCATGAATAATATCATGCCTGTATTGGGAAATGTATCCATGAGTATTTATCATGCCTGTATTGGGAAATGTATCCATGAGTATTCTATAACAAGAATAAACATCCAGATCAAAAAATCTACACCAAGCCCTTAAGAGTTACCATAAAAAATTACAAAGGGAAAGCAATTATTTTGCTAATGCAATTGAATAACTAATATTACCCAAAGATATCTGAAGGATGGGACACAATGAGGAAACACACCAGTGAGGTGACTTGGTAAGGGGAAAACAGTGGAGAAAAGTTATAATCCTCCATTTGCTCTGGGTAGATTTGGCAGTGAAGGTGTGTGTCATAGAATCGTAGTGGAAGGGACCCTTAAAGGTTACCCAGTTCACCCCCACTGCACTGAACAGGGGCACCTACAGCTCCATCAGAGCCCAGTCCCTGTCCTACAGCGCAGGCTGTAACTGTATTACTCCAGACAAGGTCTGTCCTCACCACTCACCTCTTTAGGTGGAAAAATTATTTTACAGAGCCCAAAATACATTAATTGTCTCTGTAGCTTAGTGAGTCCAGTCTCATTTAAATGAGTTCTTTGTGTAGTACAACTGTGTTTTCAGTGTTCTGCTTTCAGGTTCCTCTTTGCCCTCTTCCTCTTGTGATGATGAAAACCAAACTGAGTTGACAATGAATACTGTAAGTCTGACAGAGAGAATGAAGCTCTTAAGCAGCCCAAGCAACCAGAAGTGTGTTAAGTGAACTGATCAATTCAGCAATTCTGTCCATGGGAAGAAAAACACAACATACCTACGCTTCTCTAGTAAAAAAAAAGTCAAGGAAAAGAGAGCAAATAACTGTCTCTTTATGCAGCACAATAAACACCTGACAGGATCCTTCACCCCAAAGCCCCTTCCCACCAACAGAAGAGTCATTCTCTGTACCAAATCCATGCAATAAATACAGTGCTCTATCACTTTTTCTAGACTCATTGCTTCAAATATTGCTATTTCAACTCCTCAAAACCGTTACTGAGTGTTAAGGGAATAAGGAATGAAGGCCCACTAAGCATGCACAGTGAGCAGCCACAGTCCTGGGGTGCTGGGCCCTGGCCAGCCATCTGAACAAATTGCTTGTGTCTTGTTCAGTCACCTTTGCATACATTGTTGTCTACTAAGAGCAGCTTCAGGGTGAACAGCACATAGTCCATGCCTCTGCCTTTCTCATGAACTTTGTGCCATATAGATACCAAAAGAGGATTGGAGATCTTTTCTGCTGGGATGGCTGCACACTCCCACTAGCCTATGTTCGAATCAGAAGGAAGTATATTGACGTGAATGAGACCACACTTACAACATTTGTGCCCATTTAAGGAGAAACAGACTCCTGTGGTCAGCAGAGATAATTTTGCACAGGTCAACTGTCTTTGTGAAGTCAGCTCTGCATGGCATATGATCTGCTGTCTGTGAAACCACAGACAGTAGTTTATATATTCAGGACTGGATACTCTTTTGTCAGGGAGAATTCTGTGCACCAAGTGCAGTGCTGTGAGTGAAAAGGAGTCATGAAAGCAAAACCAAGGTGAAGCTGTGAGTACTTGAATTTGATAAGACACTGCCTTTCCTTTCTCAGATTAAAGGGTGCAATGTCTCACTTGTTCTCCTTTCTACAGCTTTCAGGATCTTCATGCTCAAGTTCAGCAGTCTTGTCTCTGAGAAGAGCTAGGGAGAACCTTTCATTGTAGTCCTACGCTTTGTACGCTTTCCAATGTCCTTGGAGGATCTGCCAGAAGGAGATCAGATTTGCCCTGAAATCCATCCCATTTCTCCTTTCAGCTCAGAACTGACCTTGCTTTTTTTTCACTGCCATCATTAACCACATTGATTCCCTGCATCAAGGATGCAGCTATCTAGTTGTACTGCTGCGTGAAAATTATGATATCATTTTAGACCCTCCACTGTGATTTTTAGGACAACAAGAACCATGAATCCAGCAAAAGTGGCTCCCAGTCCCACTACCACAGTGGATGATCCCTCCTCACCCCCAAGAGATAGGTGAAAGAGAAATAGTCCTTAACAGAGAAGTGAAACCAGCATCAGCAGTAACATTAATGGTAAGACTGAGGAAAACCCAGAGAAATAGAGTTGTATCTTATAGATTCAGTATGCAGATTATTACAAAGCTTCAAATACTCCCTTTCTCATTTACGCTGATGTGTATTTTATTGACTTTTCTCTCACTGCTGAGTAGCTTTAATGGCATTTGCCCCAGTAATGTCCTGAGCTGCTGTAAATCAAGTACTGTTTTAGGCTACTCACCATGGTCATGGGCAAATACAAACAAGTTAAGTTCTGTCAGCCTCTGGGCCAAGTCATCATAACGGCCGCAGTGTTCCCCAGCGCCATGAGCGATAAACACGAGGGCCCTAAATGGAGCATTAAGGTATAAATCATTAACTCGGCAGTCAACGCACAAAGGCTTCAGAGCCGCAAGCAAAAACAGCACATTCAATTTAGCAACAGCATTTCAGATATCAGAAAATACAAGGCAAGTTAAATAAGGGCTGATGAGAGTTTTAACAAGGGAAAACAGATTGCCATCCTAACCTACCATCGACTCGATCTTTACCAGCTGGTAGCAGGGCAGACACAAGCATGTCCTTGCACATGGGACAGACTTTGTTATCTGTTTGCAACCAGGATCTGCTACAAGTTCAAAATGCAGATGGGCATCAGCATCAGTCCTTGGGATGGGTAGCTACGCCTTGGCTTTGAGGCTTTCATGTTGCTCCTACCATGGAAGTGTTGCCCTTGAGTGTCATGGAGTTGGCATATCTTGGTGGTTTCAAATACAAATGGTCCTGAACATTTTACCTTGCACCATTGTCAAATGCTTCAGAGCACTCTTAAAGATGAAATTTCAGCAAAACAACAAATCTCATACAGAGTCCAGAGCTTTGCTTTGAGGTTGGAATTTTATCTTTTGACCCCAGTTCTGGTAATCTTACTATTACACCTTCTGCCCCCAAACAGTGGCTTCCCTTTGGCAATTAAAGGAACTTTTACATAGCCACTGTACAACTAGAGAGAGGAACCATGAAAAAAGTCTAATAGACATTTCTTTTTGAAAGGCTTTATAGAAATATTTATCTTCAAATATTACAGTTGCAGCAATGATGCTTTATCTTCACTGTGAGAATGACTAAAGTTGAATGAACTTTGCCACTCTTTTCATCAGGCAAAGTCTGTGCAGAATTGGACTCGAAATGCAGTGGAAGTAGCAGTGAGATTATGTAAGTTTTACTGAATTCAACAGGTGACTTTTCAAAATCCAGGAGCATAAACATGACGTGTTCCTTTACAAGTGCCATCTGTCATTGAAATATCAGCAACGCAAAACAGTCAGGAGGCTACAGGTTTGAGATTCTCAGTACATTAAATGAACTGACAACACAAAATAATGCAGCAGTTTACAGCTAGTGATTTCCTCTACTTCATTTTGATTGAGGTTTTGAATACATTTTCAGTGTATTCACTGCAGTAAACTGCTTTGATCTTAATAAACTTAAAAAAAAGATGTGAATGATGTAGAAAATCCTGCTCTAGCTCTTTGATTAGCACCCGCTTCAAAGTATTTGCTCATGCTACACAGCTTGAAAGAGCACTCATTGAAACCAGAAGAATTTAACAGAGAGACTTCAAACACAGCAATGCAGAGATGCTCTGGTATCTGTCCAACACTAATAAGCAAGGCTGAGGTTAGGCCATGTAACACTTACAAATTAAAGAAAATTTAACTGAAGGTTTCAGAATGGTTGGTGTGGAACAGTCATTTCTTCCTTTTCAGCCTCTCCTATCGAAACATTTGTCACGTTATCAATACACTTGCTAGACAACCTGATTTCCAGAGCACAATGCCTACAATTATAGATCCAGACACTGAACCATTGAATCATTAAGGTTGGAAAAGACCACTAACATCACCCAGTCCAACCCCAACCCATCCTACCATGCCCTTGGTGCCAGAGGTGGGAGAGATGGAAAGGCTGCTCATTTCACACTGGAAAATATCACCTTTCTGGAACAGAGCCATCACTGCTTTGCATGTCCCACCTCTCCCAGCTCAGCAGACTCCAAGCAGTGCTGCCATTGTCAGTCTCTGATGGAGAAACTAAGGAAATGCAAGGGAAGATCCACGTGTACCCATAGCAATAATGGCCAACACAGTCAGTGAGGCTCTGTGTGCATCTCTCCTGCTTCCCAGCTCCTGGCAGTTCCTCTCTGCAGTGTCTTACTTAAACCCTCTGTTACTCTCTGTAGCTCCAACCTTTTTCTTGCTGACTACGCACAGAGATTAAGGCACAGCTCGCCTGACTGCACACAGCCCTTCCTTTCACAGAGAAATATGATTTGAATATAAGCACTGAAATACATCAAGTGAATGAAAACTAATGGGAAGCTGCTGAAGAGATCTTTGCTGGGAAATGCTTGCTGATATTTCATCCCCCTGACAGCAAAGCCCTAATTTTGCTTTCATTCACACTGCCACAGCACCGTGACTCTGCCTGACAGCAACCTGCTAGATCTCAGCCCCCTCATCTTCTGTGAAGCCAGCGAGAAAAGAAAAAGCTTCATGCTGCAGAGAAGCAAGGTGTTCCTGCAACTTCTCATGCCAGCATGACAATTGTCATGAGCAAAATACTGAATAAAATCCCTGGGACTGTTTGTGCCATTAGAGCCCTAATGGTAGTAGCTGTCAAGACGGCTCAGGCACTTTTCAAAGTTTTGTCCTATGACCATAAGATGTGACAAACAAGGAGTGAAATCTTCAAATTGCTATATCCAAACAGAAGCAGCTCCATCTTCAGGGTCTCTGTGCACAGGGGCCATGCTTCAACACCTTGAAAACCTGAATTTAGTCTGAGCTTCATCTGAGCCAGGACTGAAAGATTTGGCTCTTTCCTCTCATCTTCCATTTTCCAAAAACAAGTTTAGATTTGGCAAAGAGTACCTGAAAGCAGTGTAACAAATACCTGGTGCACGTATTTTCCCTGGCAAGCTGGTGTGCAAGTACAGCGAGTGACTGCTTTGAGCGACAGCAGTGCTTCACTGTATGTAAACATTTTTGCAGATACCCCTGCTCTCAAACTGCAATGGCTGGGTAGGAAAAAACATGTCTGAGATTGCTCTGAATGGAGGGGCTTCTGCGAATTGTTTAAAAGTAATACAGAAACCTTTTGAGGCTTGTGTGACTGCAGTGCCTCAATGGCAGTGTTGTTTAAGCAAGGTTTGCGTATTGGCCATGCACCAAATCGATCCTGGGGAGAAATTTCTTCACCTCCAGCTCTCGCAATTTCAGTGATGAAATCCTTGCAAACATATAAATCTCAGGTAGAAGGCACGGCTCACAGCCTGCAAAGCTTTCTGGTGCAGACTGACCGATGCCTGAACCCACGAGTTCTAGTTTCTAACCACAGGCAGATCGACCTGACACATCTTTGGATGCTTCAGCTGGCTTGGGCTGGTGGAACAATAACTGCTGAAATGGTGCCAAAGTGCTGTTTTGGCTTCTGCTCAAGACAGCACCTCGGATGTATGTGATCACACATTTCCCCATGATCCATGAGTGTGTCACACACAACACCAAGGCATGAGCTGGGGCATAAGCATGCCAGCTCTCACCTCACCAATGCAATAGCAATTATGGCTGTTAAAGGAAAGCAGTTATTGATTACTGTTTGCAAAAGCAACAGTTTTCACATGTCCCTGCTCTTCCCATTGCCTTCTTCTTCTCTCTCCCTCCCCACAAGAGGTTTCTGCCTCCTGGTACTGCACAGCTTGGCAAACAGATGTGGTTACTTAGCACAACAAGCAGCAGGACAATGTTAGTTTTTACCATTATCTGCCATTAGGAGGTAATGGTGCATGCCACAACCAGCCCTTGCTCCCTCATCTCCACTGGGCTGCTCTCCCATGGCTTTATCAGCCTCTCCTGTGCTGCAGCTGCACCTTGCAGAGCCAGCAGCACACCCAGGTGTCCCTGTGCAGGTGGGTCAGGCTGTGAGCAGGATGGTATGATCTTCACATCCTGTCCTCCAGGGGCTGAAGCACTTCCATGAGGCCCCTGTGTGATACTTCATTGCCAGAGAAAGTTTAAGATCATTGGGACTAGACCAAAGTGCTGAAGACAAGATTTCTATGACTACATACATAAAAAATCCAATATTTTCCACCCTATTTGAAAGCATTCCTCTTCAGAACAATATTTAAGTATTTGCTTAACCTCAGGAAACTCCCTTTGGCTCATGAAAGTCAGTAGGACTTACAAAGTACAAGATTAAAGTTTAAAAACAAAAGGATTTATAAATGCTGTTCCGCGTTAGGACTGATTTAATCACATGCAGAAGTGATTTCCTGAATCAGACCCTGGCAACTTAACCTAATACCATGTTATTCTATGGAAGGCAACTATGCATTCATTTGATATGATCCTTTTGCCAGAACCAGATCAACTCTAACAAAGAACATCTGATTTTTGGAGCTTTGAGTATGCAACACCAAATTTCTAAAGTAATTTTTAAAAATTAACCAACAGGAAAGCTCTGAATTAGTTGAGGCTGCCAGAAAACGACTGGCTTACCAAATTGATTATTAAGTTTGGCTGTGTTGTTGCAGCTGACTTATCAGCTGACATCAGCCTGACTCTTAGAAATGCTGAAAACAACAAATACTTATGTATGAAAAATACTTCACTGGTGGCACTTTTGGAGAAGGATCTGGACAGCTGACCACAAACTCTTTAAATTTATTACGTCACGTGTGTCTGTTTTGCTTCCACAGGATATCGTCATAGAAAGTCAATTACAGGTATGCATTCTTGTGTTAGCCAGAAGTCCTCGCTGATTCTGAAGATTTGCTATCTTTCCCAACAATAAGATTATGCATTCAGCAGATGGTAACTTTACCAAGATTTAAGCAATATTCCAGTTTTCTACCAATAAAGATTACTTGTTTCTCAGAAATTTCCAGATAACCATTTCCAAGCACACATGATGAAGAATGAAATGCTTTGTTCACTTAACAGACATTGCTGATGTTCCTCTGGAGGGCTCTAGATCCTCTTGTGTTGGGTGTGAACTTGAAGTTTGGAAGAAGGAAGCATCTGAATCTGCTATTTGAGTCAGAGGTGATCTATAGCACTAGGTGACCCTGGCAGAACTTGGCCTTGGGCAGGGATTACAGAAATTTATGGGCGTTTCTCTCATGTTGTACATGCATGTGACCTCGCCAGCTAGCCAAGCATTCAGGCTGGTGACTCCAGATAGACAGGAAAATTGATGGTGGAGTCAGGTGTGTCCCTTAGTGCTCTTTCTGTCTCCAGGAAACTTACAGAGTTATGTTCCTCTGAGGGCACAAGAAGTGATGACTTTGCTCTGCATTCCAACCCGTGTTTCAGAGAGGCAGTTTATTAAGTTCAAGCAGTTTGCTTGCTCTGCTGCTCAGCTTTTAGGGGAAACACATTCATAGCCTTTACTCTGCTGGCCCATTTATGCTCAGCTTTACTACATAGTCCATAACCTGGGTGGTCATATCCTTTTCCAGCTATCACTGGAGTTTAATGACGTTACCTCAGACCAGCAGTTCTATTGCTACTTTTCCCAAGTCAGAGAAAAATGCTAATCTGGAGTCAAGTCTACGCTGACCTTCCCTTAACAGCACTGACCCTGTAGCATCAGTGGAGTCTCATTCCCTGGAGACCTTCAAAAGCTTTAATCAGCACAGATACCCCTGGGTATCTGAGCTCTAAATTTGGAGGAACTCACCTTTTCCAGATAGAGTGAGACTAGCAGTGGTTCGAGACTGCAGTAGTTCAGCCTGTGAACAGCCTCTGAGCTCCAGAGGCTGCATCAAAGCACTGCACTGTGGTCCAGATCCTAAACTGAACAATTTTAAAATAAACTCCTCCAGTAAATCCTGCTTCATATCTTCTCCCTTTCCCCATTTGCTCAAGCTTGGGAGTTCCCATTCAAGCATGTCCAGAGGGGCTGCTGTGTGGGCAGCATCCTACTGTCTAACATGATGGAAACTTAGGGTTCAGTCTTAACATCCCTGCTTGCTTTCATGAACAATGCTTTTGCCTTCAGCAGCTATTCATGCACATGCCTGCAAGCCTGGTTTCACAATGCATTTCAAAATCATGGTGATTCCACATCAGCGTAGAGTTAGAAGATCTGAGAGCTGCCGTGACCTCCTGGAGGAGTACCATGGGTGGGTTATTCAACAACATGAGAAAGCGTAGGCAGCATAAATCAATGGAGCAGAAACAGAACTGGATAGTACGGATATATTTCAAAACAAACAGCTCAACAGGAACTGGCTGGAGCCAGCACAGAACAATGTGGAGAAACAGCTTATGCTGATTTATTGCAGCTCCTTGAAGAGCAAGCCCTTACCACAAATAACTCTTGAGAGGTCTAATACAGGGAAAAGAGATGAAGGAAACTTCAGGTGAGGTGGGATGGGAGGAATTATTTGAATCTTGCAACTGCTTAGCTCCAGACAAGTCCCTGAAAGTCAGCATTTGAGACCAGCTGCGTTTTGTTTCAAGGAAGCTTTGAAGTAGTACTTTAGGGGACACAAGGCTGAGACCAGAGCTGAAATGTGTGTAACTTGATATTCATAGGCAGGATCTTCTCACCCCTTTTTTGGATAAAACTGAAGAGATCCTCGACTTACCAGGACACTCACCCACTTTGATACCAGAGATGCAATTTTCCCTGGTGGGCCGCTGCAGACCCAATGCTCTCAATGTGCAGGACAGAACAGCACTCTGCTCTGGAGATGCTATTTCCTCTTGCTACTGCCTTTCTACAGAGCAAGGCAATCCTTGAAGGAAGAATTATGCCTTCTTTTTTCTAAAAGGCCTGTGACATGTTTTGGACTGAACCATCACCAGTCTCATGCTGTTATTTCAGGGAGTGGATAGAACAGACAACTCATGACATGGCACTGAAACAGTTAGAAAAGGAAGAATTCAGGGAATTACCCTAGCACCTGTGCAGGGTAGAAACGGCAGTGCACATGTGGCACAAATGACCAGACTGCTTCTTGCATCAAAAACTGCACAAAATACTTTAATCAGGCATGGTGGAATTACTGGGGTAAATCTTCCACTGGCTTGGAAGAGATCTGTAAATAAGGAGCAAGAAAGGTGATGACACCGTACTTGTCCTGAGACAGTATGCTATTATTACTTTTTAATAAAGCCCTGACAGTACAATCCCCACGCGTAGCAATGGTCTAAAGCCAAACAGAATAGTGCAATTCCCTGAAATGCTCAAACCTAATAGCATGGTTTGTACCAGACAGTTCCACCATAATATGCTCAGGAGTTCTTGATTACTTCCTGCACTGAGGAAATTGCCCTTCCTCACTTTTACCTTTTGGATCCAGTTTTGTCTGCGGCTCTCTGTGTTAGCAGGAATCTTAATTGGTTATCTTTCACAAACTAACTTAGAAAAGTCTAGTTCAGATTTCACAGATAATGTGTGTCTCCAAAGAGCCAATCATTTCCTGCATGACTTTCCAAAAGCCGGTGTGGAATTAGGCCAAAACCGTAGAGACAGAAATTCAAAGATTGATATCTTAATCATAAAGTAGTTATGTATATTTTAGCATACTTTGAGATTAAGCACATTAATTTCTAATGAATAATCCTCTCGGCACATCCCAGAGCTGCACTCCAGCCCTGCCTGGCTATGAGGAGAACCTTTGCAGAGAGAGGCTTTGCAGTCTCTGTCAAAATCAATATCAGGAACTATTCCTCAGGGAAATCAGTAATGTCACAAGCAAAGCACTTGCCAAGGCTTTGAGCCTGTTCCAATTAATTTTGCATTCCACATTTGCCACAGACTCGAGGTAGGAAAGAAAGTTGAACGTAAACAGCTAAATGTTATACACCATCATCTTGCTGAAGCAGTGACTGCTGGAACATAAGCTTTAAAGACTGCCATATTTATCCATGCCTCTAACCAACATAAATCTGAAACACAGCTGAGGTGCAATGATTTACAAGTTAACGAATGGATAGAGACTTCTGCCTCCATCGCCAAATCCAGGTCTGTGTTATTTCATGGTGACCCTGAGCTGCCACATTTGTCCAGAGAACTTAGCTGTGGAGGTCTGCTACCTTAAACTCTTTCATTTCCAGCCCCAGGGCAGCGTCACCCCTGGCATGAGGGCTGCCACACCAGCATCAATAAGGAACTTCTTGCCACAAGTTCTGTCTTGTTGGTGTGCTCTCAAAAATGGCCAGATGTAACAGCTGTAAACAGCAGAAACTGAACAGGAACCTGGGCAACTTGGAGTGCAGCTGTTAAAATAAGGATGAGTAAGAACAATGAAATAAAGAAGTATCACTTTAAGTACAGGCAAAGAAAGCTGAAGGCATGTGGGATGCCTTTTCTTTAGAAAAGCTTAAAATAGAAAAGGAAATCAATACTAATTTACAGTATCTGGCAGTCACTGAACCAAAACATACATGTACACCTACTGCAAATCAGAAATAACAACACTTATTTAAACCACAAGCTGTTATTCTGCTGTGGGAACGCTGTGTTTTCTGTGGATAGCTTCACCAGAAACTGAGAAGCACCACATATTTGGGACCATTTCTAAAAAGCTTTCACCATACCAAGAGCAAATATTGTCAAAACTACAGTTACTAACCCTGGCACTGCTAGGCTGGCTTCTGCTCCTCTGGACTGTTGGCAAAGAGAGTCAGAGCTGATGGGGGAAAGCAGAATGCTTTGCCTGTCCTCCTGAGCCTCTCTTCTGATCACTTACAAGCCACCATTTGTGGGATCACAAGGCAAAATGCAAAGAAGCCTGGATGCTACATTTGGCATGTTGAGTGATGGGACTAACTCTCCTAAAGCAGCAGTAAAATCCATGCACCAAGCAGAGCCCTGGTGGTCAGAACCCATGCCTTGGCATCACACAGTGCCTATGAAAAACCAGGGGCTTCAGGGGAAGGAGTCGTGTTTAGCAAATTAACATTCCCCAAACACTGAAAGTGTAGTTGAATATAAACAAAGTGAATCTGCTGATTGATTTTTTTTCCATAGTTCTGGAAGAAGTGTGACCAGTAAGTAAATAGCATCAATAATAACAACAGCTGGCTTTTGTACAACGCTTCTCATTCATAAAACCGAACATGCTTTTTTTTTTTTTTTTTTTTTTTTTTTTTTTAAGGGGTGCAGCTTTGATTGTCACACAGCCATCAAATGAAAAGATGATCCAGAGACCCCTCACCCACTGCCCTGCCCCTGGCAAGAACTGATCCTCCCTACCCCTGACATGTAAACTGAGTACAGGAGGTGAAAGCCTTGCCCACGGCAACACAGCATGCCACTGGCGTGGGATGGACACACAGTGTGAGGCCAAACCCAACCCTACAGCAGTCACTGGGAACTCAACAGCAGAGCCAAAATCATGGAATCATAGAATCGTTAAGGTTGGAAAGACCACTAAGATCATCAAGTCCAACTGTCATCCCAACCCCACCATGCCCACTAACTCACATCCCTCAGTGCCTATTTCTGTGGTTCCTGAACACCTCCAGGGACAGTGACTCCACCATTCCCTGTGCAGCCTATGCCAGTGCATCACCACTCTTTTGGAGAAGAAATGTTCCCTAATTTCCAACCTGAATGTCCGCATGGGTTCCCTGAGCCCCATTCTTATGCTGCCTGCACAGGGCCACAGTGAACCTGGAAAGTGAGAGTCAAATTTTAAAAAGCTTTCTGTGCAACAGAACCTGTGGGCAGCTCATCACATCAGAAGGACGATCTGTGCATTCTCAGGACAACCTGGTTTTAGCTGCTTGGTTCTCCTCACTAAAACCATTTAGAAAGAACCAGATGATGGCTGAAGGCTGACCCTTGAATATGCTTTTAATAAAATGAAATTATGAATGCTGCTCGGAAGACAGTTTTTATTACTTCAAATATTGTAGACTAGCTCTCACAGGAGACTTGAAAAAAAATAAATAAAGAAGAAACACCATAGCCATTAGGTCAGCTAGATGTTATCTCTAGAGCAATTTAATTACTTAGTGCTTCCTCAATCACTCTTCACTTCTTTAGCCCAGCAAATTAAGCCACTGCAGATTTCTGGATTTTGACAAGTGAATCTGAAATCTCACTGAGATAATTTTGAAAAATAAAAGTAAAAAATATGTTGAAAAATAACATATGAAATCTATCTTTCCAGCTGCTAAACTAGCTAACCTGCTGACACCTGGAGCAAACCAACCCAACTTTCTGTTCTTAAAAGCAACAAAGATTTAGGGTTTTTTTCCATCACACCACAGTTTTTAAGTTTGATGGAAAGGAAACATACATAGCAAGATTTTTTTTGCATAGGACAGATAGATGGCTAAAAAAATCAGTAATCCTTCTCATCTATTAATTCTATAGTCATTTGTACATTTGTACATTTTCTGCTTGCCCGTCTATACACAATATTGGATCAAAAGATTACTACATTATTACCATTGAATGATTGACTCTAGCTCATCTGTCAATACTTTCTTTTTTTTCTCTCTCTCCTTTATTTCAGTAGATTGCTGCTGAGACAATTGACTTGTGGCTGAAAAGCAAGAACAACTGATGATCACTTAGTAGATTTTTAAAATCTCTTCTTCAACATCAAGCACTCTTCAACCACAAAACCTCAAGGAATAGTTTATTTTCTCTGGCAACTTTCTTCTAGGGACTCCAGATATCACTGCTGTCACCTCACTAACATCACTCACTTGGATCATTATACCAAATTTTAGATTGGGAAAACAAAAGCACATAGAAATCAAAGGCCCAGTTATTTATATTGTTGGTCAGTGTGCACAGTCTTAACTGTATTTTTTGCCTATTCTCTGCTCCTCAATAGAGAGCAGAGAAAATCTGCTCTCAAAAAATTTTTTAGGTCTAGCAATCTGCTTTTGCCATCACTTTGTTAGCATGGATTCAGAATCTCTGTCTTCAAGTGATTTCCTACCAGACAGAAAAGAAGATGGATCCTGTCTGGAGAGCAAGTGAATGTCACATAGAAGAGGAGTCTCATTCCAATAGAAGTACTCATGAGGTATTATTACTCAATGTCTTAATGATGTCAGAAACTTTGATCTGATATTGCTACCTTCCTCCCTGTTGGATAATAAACCATACTGGTAGAGAATGCCATAGTACTGGTACTGGTGGAGTAGGAACAGTGATGCATAAGGGTGTAATTAAGTTAAGGGTATAATTGAGGGGTGTAACAAGGCAAGGGATCTTAAGGATTCTCATGGGCAGGATGCAATAGTCTTTACTTAGATAAAGTTTAAGCTATGGAGTATCAGCCATTTGCAGTCAAAATTGTGTCACATCTCTTGGACAAGCTACAATGGAAGGTTGTTAAACACTGATGGCTTCCATTCAAGTGGAAGCACATTTGGACAATGGGATGCCTGGACCTATGGAAGGCAGCTCAGCCAAATGTGTCTGCAGGGACAGCTCTTAGAACAATGTAATTTCCCTAGAAGAACAAAGAGATCAGATGTTCGCGCTAGCTCTGAACAAAGCTTCAGGGGAACAAAGCACAAAGCTTCAGGGGAACTCACAAGGAAACCCAGGCCAACTCCTCTGCAACATGGATCTAGAAAACACATTGCCTTCTAGCCAATACAACTGTGCCAGCCAAATCTTGTAGATGTATTCATAGCGATCTAAAAGAGATGCCTCAGTGTATGGTAACTGCTGAGTCACAGCCTAAACCACTGATTGAGCATCTGGGGAAAGGACCCAGTCAGCCCTGGGAGCACAAGTGAAGGCAATTCAGCTGTGCGACTTGAAGGGTGGAGCCTGGCTGCTCCTCTCTTAGACCTCATTTAAGGACTGACTGCCACTGGAGGGTTTCTTCCTGGAGATCCTTCCTTGGTGAAGTTTTCTCTTGTGAACTGAGACTCTTCTGATACAGGTGAGCAATCTTCTTCCCCTCCTTTATGGCACCTCTCTATTGTGTTAGTCCTTTTGTCATCACATCTCTGTTGTAATGCCCTTCCCATTGTACTGATCTGTCTAATTGCTACACCCAGGGATGCTCAAGACTTCTGAAGTAACTGAGGCAGGGAACATCATGCAGGTGCTTTCACTGTTTTGTCCAAACCTATATGTGCCTTGTGCTACTGAAAGAAAGATTTCCTGCATCTGGAATCCTGACACTGTCGATGAGTTTGTTAGGTTCATTGATGGCATCACTTCCAACGTGTAACAAGTCTGATGGGCTGGTTGATTACTTGGTTCATCTGGTTAGCGGCACACGAAGACCCAAAACCAATTTTGCATCCTTTGCTGTTGTCTGAGGACCAGGATGAAAGCTTAATGAAACTTCTGAGATTCACAACAGGAAACTCCTAGAGTCAGCTTGCTCTTGTACACCACCAGCCATGAAGTTGCGCTGTCTTGTATGAAAGTTGTATGCCTGGGCCTAGAAACTGACCCTAAGATTGTAATAAACAAAAAGGGCTGTTTACAACCATTGTTATTCTCTCTGTTTTTGTCTTATTCCTTGGATTCCATGGGAAAAACAAAAGGAGATTTGCATTCCTGTGAGGACTGAAGAAATCCTTTCCTACTGAATAGAAGCTGTTGGGAATACCTACAGCAAGAAATGAAGCTTTCATGTCTGTCAAAAAGTCCCTTACAGGTGAAGCTGGTTTATTAATTTTCCCACCCCCTGGATAGGAAATCATGGCAGGCTGTCACCATTCACAACAAAAAGGCTGTCACCTAGAGCAAAGAGAACACAACTATTGAAAATACACACAGCTGATGAATTGGGGAAGGAAGGCTTTAGAAACTCAGGCAATAGCAATATAGCAAGTAAAGCCTGGAATGTTGGTTTGACAATGAAAATCATTAAGTGAAAAGCTCTTATTTCCCCCGTGCTCTGTTCATGATGTGATCAGACATGTGGAGAGCTCAATTCATCCTATGACAGGTGATGCTGACATAAGTCATTTTAAACTGTACAAGTTTGGTTCTTGTGCATTAGTTTGTACTAATGAGGTCAACTTCAAACTAAAGCGTTCTTCCAGAGTGGCACCGAATGAGAAAATTCAGTATTTCTAGAGACTTGCACAGCATAATTAGAGACATTAGAGTTAGTGACTTGCTTTCCTTTGCTTTGACTTCGCTTTGGTTTATTTATTTATTTAGTCATTTTGGAAGGGTCTGAAAGTCAAATTTAACTTTGTCATCTGCTCACGCTGAGAGCAGTGCTGTTCTTCTGGAAATGCCATGGAAATGCTGATAATGAGGTGCCAAAATCAGCAAGCAATATTCACAGTTCAAGGGCTGGTTCAAATCTAAAGGCAATTTGTATTTCTGCACTACAGGCACTTCTGCGAAGTCCTTCAGGGAGAGAGAAATAGATTTTCTCCTTATTGGCTTGCTCTTTTACCACTACCAACTCAAAATGAATGACAGGCATTTTTTTAGAAAGGGGAAAAAAAAAAAGCAAACAGAGAAGCAGATGGGTTTTGTTTCATTTTGTATTTTTAATCACACTTTTCAGGTGTAGAGCTGAAAGAACTCCTACAAAAGCAGTGTTTGCTCAGGTAATTGCACTCTTCCCCTAAATCATGGTCACAATGCCTGAAGTTGAACCAAGCCATTTCACTACATTAACAATTGAGCAGGAAGACATGCAGCCCACACATGTCAGCTCCTGGCAGCCTCCCCAGCACAGAATGGGCATTTCCAAAAGCATCTTTGAACTGTGAGCATCTCGCGCTTCAAATGCCCAACCTTAATTTATGCCTATTTACAGAGGAGAGCCAAACACCACTGTCTCAATCTGAAATCAGTGGTGGATGCGGGCTATTGGTAAAACTGATGATATTAGTAGGATTCAAAACTGAGCTGGGTCAATGAATCCCAAAATGCCCCAAACAAACTGCAGTTATCCAGGCAGTGATGGGAGCAGATGAGACGTCCAGAGAAGGCCAGCAGGATACTGAACAGAGGGGAAAGAAGGTCAACGCTGAAATTCTTCAGGCCCTTTTGGGGCCTCAAAGGAAATGGTTTGACTTCTCCTCCCGACTTTCCTTCCCGTTCCTCATCCCACCTCTATTCTTAGCAGTTTTGTCTGAGGGCTGGGAACAGAGCACGGTTTCTTAATTCCTCACCTCCTGTTACCTCATATTTTGACTTAGGAGGCTGAGGGTGGTGGCAGAGGTTGTAACCTTGCATGGAGCTGTTGTTTTTGTTTACACAAGGGCTGCTTTTCCATTAAGTAGGATTTTCTCAGCTACGGGGACATGCCATAGGCATGACATCGATCTGTTCTGGTACCAACAATTTAGCTCCAAAAAAACCCAATATTAGACAGTCCCAAAAATGGGACCTCATGATTGAGCTCCCTGTGCCAGCTACCTGCTGTCATGCTCCACAAACCCTGCCCTTGGCAGGATCCAAGAAAACAACACCAGAACACTGTGCTTTTCCCTTCCTGTCACATTAAACAAGACCCTTAATTACATCTGGGAATGAAAGTGGCTCAACAAGTTGGGCAGCTCGTGGGACTGCTGGTTGGGAAGCTGCACCTGCAGCCCCAGCTCTCCCCATGGGCTGACATCTCACCCCAAGAGGTGGAAAACAGTTGCCCTCCTTCCTTAGTCCATTAATATCTACTCTATCTACCTCATCTAATCTCTGTGACATCTGAGTGCCTTTGTGTGTCAGTTTCCTGAGATGTAATCACCTAAATCCCCCTCGAAACAAAGCAGCCCCTGCTGAGGAACTCACAATAGGTGCCTTTCACTCACACCACAACCTTGGCCTCGGTGGCACTTACAACAAAGCATCCATATGTGCACCAGTACAGGCTGATCAGTTGGCTCAACACTGTGTAGGATCTGAGCCTGAATATTTGTGTGCATGGAACAGAAGAGCCTTACAAAATTCCCCATCTTCCTGACCAATCTTTGTTTTGTTTTGTTGTTTTTTTTTTAAAGCCTTTATTCACCTTTGCAGGTCTGTTTGAGGAGATAAAAGAGAAGCACCTACTCCGAACAGCAATGTCTGCTGGTTGGCCCCAGAGTCCACCCATTGTTTGCTCTCCAACCCCAGGCAAGCAGCACTTTTTTTCCTTTGGCAGATATCCCATTATTTTCTCCCTGGGGGCTGGATTGAGGATGGTAAATTCTATTCTAATTGAAGCCAAGTCAGTGATAACCTTTGGGCATCTGCAGTGAAAAGGTATTTCTGCAGCCCTAGCTGGGATGAGGTGTATAATGGATCAATGGAAGATCCCACCATTCAACTGTTACAGTGTCACTCATTAGCGTTAGGATCAACAATCGAGTTAGAAGATTGAAAGATACCTTCAGTATTTGAAACAGAATAACTGTAACAGGCCAACAAAAGTCCCCTGCGGTGCCTCTCTTTCCCCCTTTCTGTACGTATATATAGATCATTTTTGCTGAACATTTAAAATTAGATGAAAGTTGCCAAGCTTTTACATATGAAGCAGAATAAGCTGAGCTACTTATGAAAAGTGAGAGGGAAAAGATGTATTTTTGGTTTCCTATCAAAGCACTTCAAGAGTGTTTCTGACTGTAGAATATAAGCACTAACTTGCTGTTCAGCCACTTACATTCTCTCTCATACATAACAATGCAAAACGAGCTAATAATAAACAGTACGCCCTTCCTCATATACAAATACACATACAAGAACCACTTGTAAATGAGCAACACTGATCCCTTCTACTTTTGTTGTCACAAAAGTAGGGCAAGCTTGCTCTCAATTAACTGCTTGGTTCACAGAGCCCTAAAAAATTAACCACCCAGAGGACTTCGGCACTAAGTTTTAACTCTCAGTTCTTCATCATCCTTTCATTTCCTGATCAAAGACCCATCCACTCACTACTAATTTGCTAAGAAATTAAACATGAAAAGAGAAAGCTATTTCTCTACTGGATGAAGATCGTTGTGGGCAGTTAATGATTAATTAGCATTACAATATGAGACAGCCTGATTTCACAGTAGAAGCTTGGTTTGATGCTAATTTTTTTTTTTTTTTTTTTTTTTTCCAATACAGGAAATCTTGAGGCTGGTGCAAAGGATACAGAAAACATCTGTGCCAAAAACTTTCCTCCTCCTGAAAGTCAGTGAAGAGAAGTAACTACAAAGCTCTCTGTGGACCAGGTCCATGGATCGTAGGACCACAGATCTTAAGCCAAGACCCATGTCCTAGAACCTACTGAGTGCCATGGAGCTGCGTGGGGTGGCTCACAGCCCTGCTCTCTGGGAACAGGGTGGCAATGTACGTTGCTTAGGTGCAGGCCACCTCCTGACCACGTCACTGCATGGATCATTGGTTGGCAGGCACCAAACCCAGGGCAGGAAAGCTGGGTGTGTATCCACCTCTCTGAGATGGTTTGGATACAACCTATTGGGTGGTGTGGGAAGGTGCTACTCCTGACTACTCAAACTCCCGCTTGAACAACTTTTCTTGCATTTGCCTATCGGCTATAAAAAGAAAATACAATTAAAAAATTAACATAGCTTTTCCCATTGGCTTGCACAAAAACAACCAACCAACCAATATCCAGATTTTGTAAAGTAGCTGCCTATACAACTAGGGTAACACAAGTATGTGTCAAGCCAGAATCTGACAGCAGATACTGGCAGCAAGATGAACAGCCATAAATAACTATGGGAGAAACACAGATAGCTTTCTATAGCAGATCATAATCAGCACATAATCAGCACGGAAAGCCATTACACTCAGGGGACTATTTAAATTATGAAAAAGACATTATTTAAACGTCTCTATCTGACACCTTGCCTGTTTATCACCAAGTTCAGTTTTGAACTCACAGAGAGGTCCCAGTGAGAGCTTCCTAAATCATTTACTGACCATAAATAAATTTTTAAAAAAGCAGTTAAAAAGCAACACAGTTGAACCAGCTCCTGCCTGCTGCCCTGAGATTTCTGCTGTTACTGATCAAACTGAACTCAGACGCTGATGCTGTATTTGTTGACACTAAGGAAATTAAAAAGAGCAGATATTGCTGAGTTGGCATCCCATCCCTCCCTGACTGCTGTTGGTTTGAAGGCACTTTGTTGCTGACAGGCATCAGCCTCCTTCAAGTGCCTCTCTGGATGTAGCACACACAAGCGCCAAGCGAGGCAGCTGTGCACAGGGCGAGAGTAACTGTGGTTCACATCTGTAAGGTGAGCTTGAGTGAGAAAGGGTTGGGGAATACAATCATTACAATTGGAGCTCTCTCAGGTGACAGACATCTCTTAGTGGCTCTGCAAAGCTCAGTGCACATAGCTAGGCATCAGCAGCCAGGCTATAAAACATAGAGTCTTACTGATAGTCAAAGAAGTGTGTTTGCTGAAAAGTGCTCACCTGGCGGCTGCTGCTGGCTTCCAGTACCTGCAGAAGAGGTGCTGCCCATCAGCGTTGATGATGTGGGGCAGGTCCTTGTATGGGATGTTCTGAGGACTCCGCTTTGGTGAACTTTCCTCGGGCATTCTGGACGAATGACCTGCAAGGTGATGGAAGAAACTTGAGGACAGGTGAAGGCGAGACAAAGCTGACTGGCTTGGAAGCCACAGACATGAAGGAAGTTGGTGAGCAAGGCAAGCGCCGCTGATGGAAGCATCCCTCCAAACCTCCATCCAAAGAGCCCCCAAATCTTTCCTCCTTTAAAACCATAGCAGGGAAGGCTCGCATTTGGGGGAAGGCACTGGAGGGAGAAGGAGGGAAGATCCATCCACCATCACTACTTCATCACAGCTTTCTCTCCCTCACTTCTCCCATCTGTGTTTACTTTGCATCATTTTGCGAAGCGGATCTGAAAAAGAATATTTGAGCTGCAATCAAGTGCAGATTGTGCAGCAACCGCCACAGATAGGAAAAGACAGCCGCATGAAAGATTTATCTCCGAAGAACGGCGGAGGGAACGCGGCAGAAGTGCCCGCTGCCATCATTAAGATCTTCTCAGGCACCCACAGCAAAGTGCCGGCAGCGGGGAAGGAAACATCTCCAGCAAACTGCCACAAACCTGTTTTCATCCTGGGCGAGGGTTTGCATGCTAGTGAGCAGCCGGCATGGCAAGGCGAGCTCCAGCAGCTGAGGCTCTGTGCATCGCGCTGCGGTGCCGCTGGGTCCGTGCCGGGCAGCTCCGGAGCGCTCCGCAGCTCCTCTCGGTGGCTCGCTGGCTCTCGGCGGAAAGTCGCTTGGGTAATTCACCACTTCTCCTTCATCACTTTTTTTTTTTTTTTTTCGTGTGTGGGCTGAAGTAGCGGTGGTGGTGGGAGGGGAGGTTGGGAAGGGTGGGGGGGTGGGGGGGGAGAGGGAGGGCCGACGGCTGGGAGAGCTGCGGTCCACTTGCCAGAAGCTGCCGCACGCATCAAAGGCACCTTGAAGGCACGCAGCGCAAAGTTACCGCTGCCGCAGGTTGTTTGCAACTAAACTTCCTTCCTGCCACTTACTGTGTCGAGGCCACGACGGCGGGGGGAGCGGAGGGAGAGGGAGAGACCTTTTTTCTCAAAGCGATCTCCGCCGCGGAGCCGTCTCCGATGCGAGCGCAACTTCCCCAGTCGCTGCCTGCGAGCGGCGGGGAGGAGGAGAAGGAGGAGGGCGAGAAGGAGGAGGGAGCCGCGCACCCGCTCCAGCCCAGGTCGCGCGGAGCCCCCCCAGCTCCATGCAGCCTCCCCGGCTCCTTCTCCGCGCGGTGCGGAGCGGGAGCGGCTCCGGGACGCGGTGGTTCCCTCCGCTCGCTGCCCCCCGCGCGGTGCCGCCGACCCCCCCCCGCCCCGCGGCTCCACTCGGTTCCTCTCGGCTCAGCCTCCCCCGCCGGCTCCGCCCGCCGCTCGCATCGCTGCCCTCGGTGCTGTTCGGGCGGCTGGCGGTCCCGGCTCGCCGACTCTGAACGTGGAAAGGGTTCATCACCGCGAAGCCCTGCCGCCTCCCGGCTGCCCCGGTGCCAACCTGTCCGCGCTGTCCCAAATCCACGCTTGGTTCTTAGGATCCAGGTGAGCCCTTGAAGCCGCACCAGGAAGATAGGAGCTTTCAGACACCGCCTCGGAGGAGCACCCAAGCACCCTGTTTTGCAGCCCCATTTGTGGTATAGGAAAGCAATTTAAAAATGCAGGATATAATTTATACAGATATCCTGCACCTAATTATCATAGCTTATATGCAATACATATGTTGCAACTGTATAATTTGGGATATATTTTATGGCATATGACATTTGCTTATGTAAATTGTTGCTGCGAGGTTCCCAGGAGCTGAAATAGCTCCCCGAGCCCAAAGGCATCCAGATACTGAGCTTTGACAGAATCACAGAATCACACAGAATCATTAAAGCTGGAAAAGACCACTAAGATCATCCAGTCCAACGTCCCTCTGTGCCACATCTCCATGGTTCTTGAGCACCCCCAGGGTCAGGGACTCCATCACTCCCTGTGCAGCAGTGCCAGTGCATTACCACCCTTTTGCAGAATAAATTCTTCCTAAAACCCAGTCTGAAGTTTTGTCATTTTAATACTGTAAGTGTTTGGTATTTGTTGAGTGCTCTCAGCAGTATCGGTAGCATGACAGGAGATTGAAGTCCAGTAACTGGTTTTCATTCACATTCCAACCAACAAACCCCTTTTCATGACAGCAGCCATGGTATTTTGAGAAGATGGGTATCAGAGTTCAGTATGAGTTCATCTTTGGTACACTGTTGTGTTCTTGTTGGACAAGAGTTATTGGCCTCATGTTGCATGAGGGAAGGTTCAGGTTGGATATTAGGAAAAATATCTTCTCAGAAAGGATAGTGAGGCACTGGCACAGGCTGCCAAAGGAGTCACCCCTGGAGATGTTCCAGAACCATGGAGATGTGGCAACGAGGGATGTGGTTATGGGCATGGTAGGATGGGTCTTGGTGGTCTTAGAAGTTTTTTCCAACCTTAATGATTCTATGGTTCTGATTCTGTTTATATTAATAGCACAGATTCAGTATGTTTCATGACACTAATAATTGCTTAGATGCCTGCATATAATTGAAGATCTCATGGCTTTTTAAGGAGAGGCAGCTCTTTGTAATGGTTTTTAATGCTATTCAATGTGCTCAGCAAGTCCAAGCCTCCAAAGAAAGGAAAGAAATAGATGCGAACCATAATAACAATAAATGTAAAACCTCTGAGATGACCCATATAAAAAGAATAAGGAAATCAAAAGCAGACTTCTTCCTCTTTCAGTGCCATTTAAATTAAATGCCCTAAAGGGGGTTTTAGTTATATACCGCAAAAGAAAAATTGGCATTGCTTAAGAAAAAAACACACATTTATTGCTGCTCATAACGTGAGAGATTTAGGTCAGTTGGGGTCTTAACAGAGCTCTGGGAACTGTATGCAGAGTTTACGATTTACTGGGCCAGCTACTGTCTGGGCAGGGCTGGGTGCTATTAAAGAGCCATTGAAGTCAGCTTCGTTGCTGGGAGGATCAAGGACTTGTATGTTTATTTAAAGGGTACAGATCAGATAATAACTGGATAAAAAAGCCAGGAAAGAAGGAAGCACCCTCTTCCCCTGCTCACACGGCTGGTCTGCCAGGAACACTTCACTGCTTCCCTGCGGCGCTCCATGAAACCTGACGCCAGGAGCAGCTCCTCTCCTGCTGTGTGCTGGGAATATCCGAGTTCCCAGCAAGGTGGGGGAGACAAGGGAAGATTGCTGCCTATACTTCAGGACAAAAATAGCATCTGAAAGAAATGACCTTTGCTGGGACTCAGATCCTGCCTTTGAGATCCCACCTCGGTCAGTGCACTGACACTCAGCTACCTCCCTGCAGAGATTTGCGCAGAAGTGGATGAGTGGAGCATGAACCACCCCTTCCTTCCCTTCTCCCTCTTTCCCCGAGCCCACAGGAATTTGGGCACATTTCTTTGCACACACCTCCCTCCCATCTTGGGATAAAAATAAGTGAGAAGCAGCCAATGACCAGCTACCTTCCACTTGCACAGAGCTTAAGCTGTGAATGAAAAGCCACCTGAGAACACTGGATTGAGTCTGAAGGATTCACCTAGCAGACATAAAAACAATATATAAGGCTTGAGCAGAGCAATTATTGCATACCACTCTCCCTGTGAGAAATTAAAGGGATGTATGAGCACAAGCATGTGGTGTTTAAGAGACTGCAACATCTTTTCTTGTCTCTGGGGGTGAAATACATTGTGGAAATGCAGTTAAACCTAAATCAACTTCCTAATAACAAATAGAAATACACTTGGTCTGTGCACTAACTCAGTCACTGCAGGGAAAGATGTTTGCTTTATTAAGGAATGAGCACTGCTTAAGTTTAGCATCACTATTGATGCCAAAGGTACCCATAGAAGCATAGAGAAAAGGATAGACCCTCAAAAGAGGCAAATTGTAGGAGAAGAATTCACACTTCAAGAAAAGTTGCTGAAATGACAGAAAAAAAACACCTGAATTTTAAAGTTTTTATCATGACAAACGGAGAGAGAAGGGAGGGAGCAGGATGGGTGGGAGATGTCATGGTGGGCTGAAGTGTAATTCTGGTGGTGGGGCAAGGGATTGAGATAGGACATTCTTTGTCATTATGCTTTCTGCCATAAAATGAATTTTTAATGGGTCATATCCTGTTGGCATGTGGAGGTGATGAGATTTTGTGTGGCCTATTGACAACCTGATGTTTTCATATTGCGAGGGAGCATTTTTGTTTGAGGAGGGAATTTGATGGGAGTGGGTGCTAAACCATGGGGCATTCTGCTCACCAAGAACTCACAGAGAACTTCTGATGATGAAAAGGGGGAAGAATTAATAGGGGAGGAGGAAGATGCACTGATAAAATCTCCAAGTAGTTTGTGGTGATGGAAGAATCTGCCCCAACAGGAAAATGCTTGAAATGACAACAGGCAGGGAGCTGCTGGAGAGCAGCACAAGGGAGAGCACATGGGAAATGCTGTGAGATGGAGCACGAAGCAACTGAAATTGAGTGAAAAGCAGAGAACACAGTGTCACCAAAGCTGTCGGTGTGCAGTTGTTGTTTTGGTTTGGCCCTTCTCTTTGGCTGCCCCCCACAAGACATGTCCAGGAGTGGGCATTGGGATAAAGTGGTTGTGCTTTCCTGTAAAATATCAATTTTAATGCCTTGTGGGCAAAAACCAAACTTGGTGTCTGGCAGATTGTGTTGAAAAAGGGCATGCTGAAGGATGGCATCTTATTGATCACGTTAAGTTTAACAGTACTGGAAGGACTTATAACTCGCTCTGTGGTTTTGCAGTGTCATGTACCTCTTCCCAAAGCAATGCCACGTTAAATAGAGAAAGGTTGAAGGGTTACTGCAGGGCAACTGAGCAGCACAGGAGCTGTTTGCAGGCTTCATCGGTTGATGCTTGTCAGTAATTTCTTTTTCTGTTTTCATTCTCCCAAGTCAGAGGGAATAGAATTAGTAAGGGAAGCCGCAAGTGGTTTAATAACCCTGATGCAAACTTCTATGAAGTAATAAAGCATTTTTATCATGAAAATGAAAATATTTAGTGATAAAGATAGCGTTGTTTTTTTTGTTTGTTTGTTTGTTTGTTTGTAGGTAAGAAGAGCAATAATGATATTGTAAGTCCTGCTGTCACTAGCAGTCACCTATAACTCTGTGTCTGCAAGCACATGAGAGAAGAATGCCTTGCCTGTGCTACTTATTTGACAGGACCAAAAATATCTGCTTAAAATCACACAGTTTGAATACAAGTTTCAATCCTTTAAACCGATGTGTAGAAAATGACCCATCCTACATAGATGCTAATTTCAGAGCTGGTTGGTTTTAATTACAGAAGCAGTACACTTTCTGTTTGGTGGCTTGGTGGTTTTGTTTTTTGTTTTTTTGTTTCTTTAATTAAAGCAACAACAACAAAAAACCAACCCGAGAATATTAATACCAGATTCTGAGGCATATATGAATATTACAGCCAGCATCTTCCAAAAGGAGCAAATTCAATCCAAAAGGCTGAAACTCTGCCCTCAAGTTTGGTCTGTAGAGGGGAAGATCTCCTAACAGCTCGCTGCTCGAGAATAATTAGGATTTTTTTTAAGCTCGGAACCACGTAACTTTACCAGCGTCCCACCAAGGCAGGGAGAAAGTGCGTTTTTCTCGGGTGCACAACTGCTGGCATTTAGAAATGGCAGAGAAATTGCAGCTGTCGTGCACTAGAGGGCACAGCAACAGCTCCGCCGACACGCTGAGCCCTGCCAGCCGCTCTCCCCAGTGACTGTGGGTGGGTTTGAACAATTATTTTTATCAACTTTCGGTTAATCGTTAGATGGTTTTCTTAAAACAAATATCCCGTCTTATCTCTGCGGCCCGGCGGTGTTGGTTTCTAAAGAAAAGATTCCTGTAAAGAGCCATAATTACTCATTTTCCCTCTGAATCTGCTCACACCATGAGAACCGGCCCGGCTGTCTGGTCCCCTAGACAAGCACAGTGCTGCAACACGTGAAGGGAAATCCTGTCCTGGTCATTGCGAGGGCAGACATTGAGGAGTCTGCTACAAGATGGCATGTCCTAGGGCTGCATGTAGCCCTGCCACCACTGAGAGAGTCATAGAATCATTCAGGTTGGAAAAGACCTCTAAGATCACCAATTCCAACCCCAACTCACCCCGCCATGCCCATAACCACGTCCCTCAGTGCCACATCTCATGGCTGTTGGACACCTCCAGGGACCCAGTGACTCCAGCACCTCCTGGCAGCAGTGCCAGTGCATCACCAACATCATTGTACCAGGACAAAATAATACTGCAAAAGCTGTGGTTGGAGCAGTGCTTTCTTTTGGTAGCCAAACTGGAAGCACTGTCTGGAGAAGAGTTATTATCGTGCTGCCTGGTTTTCTTGCTGTTCTGCAACTGACAATGCATCATTTATCATGCTTTGCATTCCAATTTTTCTTTGCATGTTTTCCAGCTCATCATAACATAATTACGTTTCTGTTTCTTCCAGCCAGGGGCCGAAACTTTCTTTTAGTAAGACAACAGCTGCACTGCACAACCTTGATGAATCCCCATAAGGAGAAAATGTGTCTGTGGTGCTTGTTTCTGCCTTGACAACCCAAATGTTCAAGCTCCTTTTTTTGTGACAAATGTTGTTTAAAAGCCCCAGATCTTTCATTACATTTCTCAAAATGAGGTTTTATATTGTAATTAAGATGTGAAATATTGAACACCCAGGCTGGCTTGTAATTTTTAAGGCTTCTTTTGTAACGTTTCTTTTGGTAGTGCTTATAGATTCGTAAACACTGAGATGGAATTTTAGAGGGCTGTGATTATTGTTATGGAATTTTTTGAATGAATGAAATTGGTTCTAAGCATATCAGCACAACCTCCAAGGATGTGTTATGCATCATAAGGGAGTTGTGGGGGCACAGGTGAGTTACTTCCTAACTTGGCCTCAGTGGCTCTGGCACAACTGGAAGATAAAGTTAATTATACCGGCCTGGTCTATGAAATGCATTAACTGCTGGTGATGGAAAATGTCATAAAAGACACCTGGTATTTTTATTATTACTTAGTGAAATGTTCTATTTAACTCTAGTTTGCTGCTTTGAAGCTGAGATTTCTAAACACTTCCAGCAGGAAGGGCATTTTTATTTTGCAGGGGAGAAATCAGGACAGAGAATAGCAGGGTTCAATACTGAAGGTGAGCTGAGGGCAGAATCTATTCCTAAGGGCTCCTGATTTTATTTACCCAATTATACAATTACTATTTCCAGTCTCATCTCAAAATCTATCTGTCAGAATCCTACAAACAACCCAAGCAGTAAAATTTGGGTCTTAAAGATCCTCCAAATTTACAAGTACAGGGAGTATCGTGTCCCGGACAAAACTTCAGCCTGGATAACTGCAAAATGTACCCTCTGGTTTTTGCTTTCTATGCTGATCTCTTGGATGTTTTTACTGCTGCTGTACCTGTGTGAAGTTGGTTTGTATTAGAATAACTTTATAGATGGAAGCAAGAGTTTTAATTCATGGTCACTCCTAGTTACATCTATACGTACAGTGATCTAAGGATGCTCTTGGATGTTTGAGCACAAAAATGTGTGTCGGAATGTTTCAGCTCTGTCCATCACACTGACTGCTGATGTAATGGGCTGGAGGGTCTTTGGTGTTGATGAATCATATAGTCATAGAGTCATAGGATCACAGAATGGCTTGGGTTGGAAGGGAACTCAATGATCACGAAGCTCCAACCGCCCTGCCAAATGCATGGCCACCAACCTCCAATCTAATACTGGACCAGGCTGCCCAGGGCCCCGTTCACCCTGGCCTTGAACACCTCCAGGGACAGGGCATCCACAACCTCTCTGGGAAACTAATGGGAACTGTACCTCCTTGGTCAAAGCCAAATTCAACTTCCATCTACCAATGGTGAGTATAACTCAGCCGTTGTTAGAGAAGGTAGCAGGCTTGTTGTTTTGGATATACACTGACTTATGGCTGATGAGAAGAGCTTGCCTTGTACTATTTCTTCTTTATAACCCCATGGTAAATTCTGGCAGATTCTGCATTGATACATTTTACTTTTTTTTTCTCATTTATCTTTGGTTTCTCTGCTCCAGCCACTCACACATGTTCAGTGTATGGCTGACGTGCATTTTCTTTCCAATTCATGTATAGTGTAGTAATTACTTCCTAACATCTGCCTAACAGATTTTGTAAGAAAAGTAACTTTGTAAATATTAAAAAAAAAAAAAAAAAGAAAAAAGATGAAATCTTTGAAACCTCTATTATTGGGTTTGTTATCCACAGCTGACTGGATCCATTCCCAGCCAGGAAGCTGGTTCAGCAAAACAGCTGCATCAGTTAGTGAATGGGAGGTTTGATTCTCAGCCTGCTGTCAATCAGGAGTAGCACTGGAGAAAGTAAAGAATATCCATCAAGTGAAGTGCACATCAGGGGAAAAACCTCTTGGTTATTTGATTTTTGCAATATCTGCTACAATTTACTTCATAGCTCCTAGCAAGGGAAACGCATTCACCAGTTTCCCTCCTTGGCTGAACTGAAGCACATGATAATTACCCAGAAGCATGCCTTGGGAAAGGGGATGACAAATGAGAAGTACTGCAGTAAAACAGAGGACAGAGCATCTGCAAGCACCCGAAGTATTTCATACATGAGATGATGATGACATTATAGCCCAAGAGAGCAAAGGATTGTTAGAAAGCTTTAGAGAAGGACATCTTCAATCCTCAGGGCCTTTAACAACCTTCCTATTTGATCTTATTATAAATTAGCAGCATGTGCTAACATCCAAAGTTACAGAATCTGAATGTTCGCCCTCCCGGCTCTCACTTAGCCCCAACACAAGACATCTGCTATATGTTGGCTACGGTCTTTGGTACTCTTATATCAAAGCTATCTGTGGTTTGGTTTCTGCCTTAGAGTCAGTAGCATCTGCAGTTTCTGTGAGGTCCCTGAATGGCTCATCAGACTCCACCTCTGCACCTTGTCCCACAGCTCCTCAGCAATACCTTCTGCAACAAACCAGAATTTCCGGGGCAACTTCAGTGACACCAGAAATACGTTCTGCTGTTCCAAAATCTGTCAGTGTGAATGATTCATTCAGCGCTGCACCCCTTGGCTGTTTGTATCTATAAGATGATCAAATATATTTTTAATTATCAATCTGAGATATTTACTTTTGCCAGTAGACAATGCCCAACTGTATTGTAAGAGCCATTGGGAGAGAGCCAGAGAATTTGACAGCGAGATATGGAACATATGGGCTTTCAACACTTAAGAACATATGGAAAGAGGTTTGGAAGAGTGCCACGTGGGGTGTAACTTGAAAGATGGTACATTTCTTCATCCTTTTTTTTTTTTTTAATCAAGCAAATGTAAAAATTTCACTTTTTTGAAGGATCCTAATGACCTCAAATTGTATAAGGGGAGGCTCAGGTTGGATATTAGGAAAACATTGTTTTCCAAAAAGTGGCAATGCATTGGAACAGGCTGCCTGGGGATGGTGGAGTTACTGTCCCCAGAGGTGTCAAGAAATGTGGAGATTGGGCACAGAGGGACGTGGTTAATGGACAGTATTGGTGACAGGTGGATGACTGGACTAGATGATCTCAGACATATTTTTCAACCTTAATGGTGCTATGATTCTAATTCCTGTTCATTTTCTGTGATACAGTACTGCTCTAGAACAAGCCATTAAATTCAGTAGCAAGGTTTGAATAAAATAGGCGCCATGTTTAAGGGCAACTGCAGGCAAGTAATTAAACAGGTGACAAGACTGCAGATCTTTCCAGGCTTTTACCTCCTGATTTATGAGCTCCCTCACAGCTGAACTCAAAAACCTACAGCTGGTGACTCAACCTTTGGGATGAAAGAGAATATATAGTACCTGGATGGATGGATGGATGGATGGATGGATGGATGGATGGATGGATGGATGGATGGATGGATGGATGGATGGATGGATGGATGAGTGAGTGAGTGAGTATTTCAGATCACTTGCCTTTAGCACATAGTTTAATTCTGTGAGTTGGAACTCTAGCACTACTCTACAAGTATCAATTTTAGCTGGGGCAGGGGGGGAATAGTTCAGAAGAGCAATCTGCAGCAGGATGCTTGAGTCTGGGCATCTATGAAGCAGCATCTTTGTGATATTTAAGAGACAAATGTCTCTTGCTTGTAATTGGAGGAGTCTGTATATCTGAGTTATTGCCTTGCTTTGTCAAAAAAGTAATGTACACTTGGCTTTGTATTTTGGTAATTCTTTTGCTACTGCTGAAGAAAAGGTTTTTCATGCATTTTTTTTTTTTAAGCACAGTTTTGTGTTCATTATAGGACTGCAGCAAATGCAGAGTTTACTGGAATATGCAAAACTGTATATGTGTCTTAATTTGCTCTGTTTGCACATGTACCCTGCAGCTTAGTGAATTAATCTCTCCAGCTGGTAGGAAACCATCATCATCATCCTGCTTTGGTGGTGAGGAATGAAGACCAAGAGAATGGCAGGGGTTTGTACCAAGTGACGAAGTGTGATTCACAGTGTTTTTCTACTAACAGAATATGCAAACCTGAGGAACATTACAGGTTTTTTTCTTTTAATTCTGTGTGGCCATAATGGCTTCAAGTTCTGCTGTTTTGAGTATGTACTTCTGTGTGTAACTTTCAGTTGTGGTTTCTGGAGTGGAAATGCTAAGTCATGGCTTGAAGCAGTGATTGAGCACCTGGTGGGAAGGCAGGACCAACCCAGTGGAGTTCACCTACATGCAGTGCAATGCACCTGAGTGACCTGAAAGGGTGGAGCCACGATCCACCCCTTCCCAGACCTCATTTAAAAGTTGGTAATGGAAGCAATGATATCTTGCTGGAGATTCCTGCATATCTCAGGTCTTTTGAAGGTAAGCAGCTTCTTTCCTTTATTTCTGTGCACCTGGCTTTTTGCATTTGAGCAAATCCTCAGTTGTAGCTCTAATGTTATTGCTGTGCTTTCCATCGTGCTACCATCTCCACTTAGAAGTATTTTTTGATCCTGGCACATATTAATATTTATATTTTATTAAAAGCATTAATAATAATGTCCAGAACAACTTTGTGTATTAAAAAAAAAAAAAGCAGCAATCTGTGTGTTTCTTTACCACCTCCATTCCTATCTCTGTGGATCTAAAAGGAGGACAAATACTCTCCTATCTGCCCTTTCCTTCTGCCTGATTAACTGGCTGCTATGGCAGGCCTCCCTTTGCTCTGCTACAGTTTCATTCCCAGAGAAAGAAACCTGGTGGATGTTAAGCCCCTGAATGGTGGCAAAACTGGAGGTGGAAAATGTAGAAAAAAATTTTGGTTTCTGTTTGTACTAAAGGGCTCTTGGTGCCTCCTCAATCAGGCAGTGTGTTTGCTGGAAATCAGCAGATCCTTGCCTAAAGGCATCAGGCAGTGCAGTGCAACTCAGTAATAAATGCATGTCAAGGGATCAGGAGGGAAATTTCTGAAGGAAGAGGGTAGGTGCTGGTGAACAGCTGACTTTGGGGGCTCTCTGTGGCCCTTTTTTACTTTTATTTTTTCAGATTGCCTGAATTTGACAAAGGCTCTTTAATATCCAAGACAGAAAGACTTACAAATTAAGCAACATCTAGCTCCTAATGTGTAAAACTGCAATTTGCATACATCACGGCAGCTGCTGAGTTGGCCCTTATTACCTCTGCTGGAGTGTTAATTTAGCCTCAACTTTCTCATTTATTTAAATGAGAAAGCAGCGGGTGGCTGGCATGCCACATTATCCATGAGGCAACCTGGGAATCAGGTCAGCAGAGCCAGGAAGAGATTTCAATGCAGGGGACTGCAGGGGTGCTGCTCCTTGGATGGTTGGACACTGGCATGTCTGGGTTGCCCTTGCCCTGTGCTAAAGGTCAGCACTTTTCCTAAGGAAAAAAGATCAATGTTTTGTTCAGAGTGAAATAAGAGATAATAGGATTAAGCTGGGTTCCCTGGTCAAGTAAATTTCCCTGCTTCTGTTTTCTCATATTTGAACTGGTGCTGTATTTGGAGATACAACTACCAAAATATCATAGCTTAGTTCTAACGTAACTAGAGAAGCTGTGATGCTCCATTTCTGGAGGTATTCAAAGCCAGGTTGGATGGGGCAGCCTGATCTACTTACTGGTTGTCAGTCCTGCCCTCAGCAGGGGGGCTGGAGCTCAATGATCATTAAAAGTTCCCTTCAAGCAAAGCCATTCTACGATGAATACAGCAACCTCCACTTGCAGAGCAGCCAATGTGATGAGGTCCAGAGCCTACACATACTGCAGCCCCTGCCAGCTAGTGTGCTAGGTATGAGCTATGCTTTTGTACCACTGCTTCATGAAGCATCTCTGTACAACTGTGCATCTGTTGTCAAAGAGCAAAAACTGCAGAACCATGGCCCATGACATGGTTCTAACTTCAATTGAGGTCGTAATCTGAAATCTTTCCTAAGCACACTCTTGGGAACTGGTGGGACTCTTGCTTAGGAATGTGGTATTTATCCAGTAGGTTAATTTCCTGGGCAGCCTGATCTGGTGGTTGGCAGCTGAAGGGTTGAAAATGCGTGATCTTTAAGGTCCTCTCCAACCGAAGCCATTCCATGATTCCATTCGATGATAATTATGAGAAGCTGAGATTCAGAGAGGGATTTTCCTCCACACGGTGACAGAAGGCATTATATGGTTGGTGCCAGGCAAAAATTCTTTCTAAGACATTAAGTTCAACACATTTCCAAAACACTGAAATATTTGCATCAAATGCCTCTCCCACCTACTCCTAATTGTTTTACAGCTTGCTGTTAAAAGATCACGCATTTGTTGTAGTGCCACAGACGTTTTTCCTCTTGCTCTTAACTTAGCCTTGTTCAGCAAAAACTTTTGTCTTTGCCTACTTGTTAGCCATTCATTTTCGTAATTAAAATCGCCATGACAACAGATAATGATATCAGAGTGAAAGGATTATGGCTTAATTACACGGAGGAAGTGGAAAGCAGAGAAAGCTTTGAATTCCAGCTGACCTAGCCTAAGCCCTGTTCACTGCTGGATTGCTCCACCTGTGCTATCAGAAAGTACTGCCTGCCCTAGAGGAGGCAGGGATTCAGGGGATATTTGGAGTTTTGAGAGCAATAGAAAGGAATTTGTCTTAAAAGTGCCAGCTAGCATTTCTGTGGGATGGACTCTTTATATGAATTAGCTAAAGAAATATGCTCAGCAAAGAAATGTGTTTATTATTATGGTAGCAGAGTGGTTTCCTATAAATAAAATTTATTACATACGTGCTCAGTGTTAACCAACATGGTGCTATAAGCTGTTGCGTGTAACAGGAGAACAAGGCGTTTTAGGGGATGTGGTTCATTTTTATCATAGTGGTGGCATTTCATCAGTTTGCTGTTCCATCCTGGCTTCTGTGAAAGCTACAGTATGGGGTTGGGTATTTATATTTCTTGGGGTATCTTATATTTCTAAGATAAAGCTGCTCTTTAATAGGAACAATCTGGGAGTTCAGACCACAGACTTCTTTGTAATCTGATCTCTTGCATTTCCTGTCACAAGTAAATTTCATCACTTTCATTTTTTTTCTTAATTTTGTCCACAAATTATATGAAATCTGCTTTTCAAGAAGATGTACATCTTAATTTTCTCCTAAAAACAATGATTTGCTATTGACTATTGAACATTCCTGAACACAAGCCTCACCACTTTTGAAAAAACCCCACAGTATAACCATCTGACAAAAAATCTAGATAAGGAGAGACATTTCATTTTTGAATTTTCTCAAAAGCTAATATGATCAATCAAACAATTTATTCAGTGAATAAATAAATTAATATCACTTGAAGAAGAGCATTCTGAAAATTTAGTGTCTTTCTCAGTTAAAAGTACAGGCTCAACATCAATCCGTTTTATAACCCTAATTTGTGCTTAATCTTTTTCTCACCTTTGTTTAAGCATGTGGATACATGCTTTATTATGGCCCTCTTGATTTCTCCCTTCAATTTAGAGTATACCACTATCTGAGCAGATCTGCAGCTGATGGAGATTGGTGCAGTCCCGTTATTCCAGCCCAACTTAGTTGATCTGCTTCTGATTTACATCAGCATAAGCATGTTGATGGTCAGGGCTTACAGCTGATTAAAAGTACACAGATAATTTGGAAGCAGAAATCCTTCCTCCAAAAGCTGGTCATCCCTTATAGAAAGAATTACTCATTTTTCAGAGTCTTAAAATTGCCTGAGTTGGAAAAGACCCTTGAAGGCCATCAGGTTCAACCCCCCTGCAATGAGCAGGGGCCCCTGCAGCTCCATCAGATGCTCTGAGCCCATCCAGCCTGACCTTGGCTGTCTGCAGGGATGGAGAGCATTCCCGGAGATGCCCACCTCTTTGGGCAGCCTATGGCAGTGCCTCACCACCCTTATTGTAAAAAGCCTTTCTTATATCCAGTCTAAATCTCCCTTATAGTTTGAAACCATTCCTCCTTGTCCTGTTGTCCCCCCCTTGTTCCCTTAAAAAATGTCATTTTACAGTTTTGGCTCTTAAGATGTAGAAAAGCAGAAAGTTTTGGGCAATGCCTGCCTGTAGAGATAGCAGCCTTGGTTCTGAGCCCAGCTTGAATGGCTTGAACCAGCAATAGCATATTCTTCCCTGGTACAGGGGAAGGAGAGCAGCCCCAGTGCCAGCTGTCCTGACGTGGCCCTATGCCTGACACCTGAGCAGCGCCATGTTCCAGCCAGGAGCCCAGCTCTATTCATAGCCCCAGCCCTTCAGTGCACACAGCAGCTCTCTGCTGTGACGTGAGATTTGTTTCCCTCCTTTTCGAGCCCTGTCTCTCCACAGCCCCACAGGCACCTGCTCACAAAGGTACGTGCTGAATTCCTTCTTGGAGCTCAGCTGGGAGGAGACAGTAGGGCTGCTTTGGGATGTTGGATGCATGTCTTGGGGGACCCATAAGACTGCAGGCACTGCTTTGCTACCATCTGGGTATCCCTGTGTGCCTGGGGCTGCTCCTTACTATCAGAAGTTGAAAATGTTTCGTGTGAGCTGTACAGATTTGTTGCAGATGTGTGAGTGCTGGGGCTGTGTTGGTTGTGCTTGCATGGCTTTGCTGGGAAGTTTCTCTTTTGTGTGGATGGGTGTACCTGAATACTTGCTTGGAATTGAAACTAGATCAAGTTTGTGGTGAGAACTGGTTTAAAACTGGAACTAATGTTAAGTTCTTAGGGTTTGCATCTTGCAATTTATTTTAATTTTGCTGGCACACTGAGGTCTGCATACCACCATTTGCTAACCAAAAGGATACGTACTTCAGAGTTTTATATAAATATAGGCAATTACAGTTTGCAATCTTTTCTGCTGTAAACATGCAAATAGAGTTTGGTCTGCAGCTAATTGTTAAATTATTTATTTTAATTGTGGTATAGTTCAGTCTATAAAAGCACAATATGATGTAATTGTTCCAAAAAGAAAATCTTTCCTGTACTCTGCAGTATGGTTAGAAAGAAACGAAATGAGAAACTTCTGACCTCTGCCAGGCTGCTGAGAGAGCTAATGAACTACATCTCAGAAACACATTTTCCTTCTGCTGGCATCTATCGTTGGACATGCAGAAAACTTGTATGTCCTCCTACTGTGAGGAGCACTTTGCCATTTCAATTAGTTTTGATATGTAAGAAAATGATCTGCACATGTGAACTGTGAAAGAAATGGGCTCTGCATATGTGAGCTTAGGTTCTATTCTTCTTGTGCAATTAGTGCACATCATTGCTAAGAGTGGGGGTTGTTTACAGGGAAGTGATTGTGAACAGCCACGTGCATTTCCTATTTGTGTTGTGGGATTCTTTTGACTGACTCCATGGAGCTTTGAACTGGACCAAGAGTAAGGTGAG